GTTATTCAGTTTCCATGTATTTGGCTTGATTTCCTTGGTCTTCTTATTGTTGATTTCTAATTTGATAGCATTGTGGTCTGAGAAGGTTTGTAGTATTTTGATATTTATAAATTTATGAAGATTTGTTTTGTGGCCTAAGACACAAAATGTTCCATGTGCACTGGAAAAGAATATGTATTGCGCTGTTGTTCGGTTGAAATCTCTGTGCACATCTATGAGGTCCAGTTGGCTGACTGTGTTATTTAGTTCTTCTGTGTCTTTGTCAAGTTTCTTTATGGTTGTTCTATCCATTTTTTGAAAGTGGTGTATTAAAATCAGCCACTATTATTGTAGATTCACCTATTTCTTTCTTCAATTCCATTGGAGTTTGTTTTATATATTTTGGAGCTCTTTCATTGGGAGCATAGATATTTATTATGGTATGGCACCTTGATCAATTGTCCCTTTAATCATGAGATGATGCCCATTTTTATCTATTATGTTGGTTTTTGCCTTAAAGTTTATTTTATCAGAGATTAGTACTGCCATTCCTGTTCGTTTTTCATAGGAGTTAACTTGGTATATTTGTTTCCATCCTTTGACTTTTAATCTGTGTTTGTCTCTGTTTGTGAGATGTGTCTCTTGCAGACAGCATATTGAAGGATCTTGTTTTCTTATCCATTCTGCCACTCTCTATCTCTTAACAGGTGCAGTTAATCCATTTACATTCAGTGTATTTATCAATAGGTATGGATTAATTGCTGCCATTATGTTTGTTTTTTGTGGTGTTATTGCTTTCTTTGTTCTGTGTGTCTTCCTTTGTTGAGTTCATGCTTTTTGTGTTCTTTCTTGTGAGTTTACTCATAGTTTTAATGTTTCCATGTTCTTCTTGGATTTTCATTTTCTTGGTATGTTGTGAAGTGTTAATTTTCTTTGAGGTTGCCTTATAGTCCATTCACTTTTCTCTCCATTTAGTGTAGTCTGTTTTATCCTGTAATTGACCTGACCTTCTCACTGTCTGGATCTCTGTTTCTACGTGTTTACCTTCTTTTACACTGTAATTGTTTTGATCATAGACTGACCTCCCAGATTCTCTGAGTTTGTTCTTATAGTTTTGTTCTGTTCTTGACACTTCATTCTGTCGATTTAATTCTGGGAGGTGCTGCCACTTATGTCAATCTCTGGTTGTTGTCTGTTCTTGTTGGTTCTCAGCCCACAGAATTCCCTTTATGATGTTTTGTAGCACAGGGATGACTTTGGCAAAATTCTTTAGTTTCTGTTTATCCTGGAATGTTTTGATTACAGCATCATATTTGATTGATAGCTTTGCTGGATAAAGGATTCTTGGTTGGCAATGTTTTTCTTTCAGGGTTTTATATATGCCTCCTCATTGCCTTCTTGCTTGCATGGTTTCTGCTGAGTGATCCAAGCTTAATCTGACTTGCTTGCTTTTGTATGTGACACTTCTGTTTTCCCTGGCTGCTTTCAGAAGTGTCTCCCTATTTTTTATTTTGGAGAGCTTGATTATGATATGTCTTGGTGATTTTCTTCTGGTGTCTATCCTTCCTGGGGTTTGTTGAGCTTCTTGAATGTTTATCTTTTCAGGATGCTAGAGAAATTTTCTCCCAGCAGTTCCTCTGTGGACTTGTATGAGTCTTCTTGTTCTGGAATGCTGATAATTCTTAAGTTATTCCTCTTCATGTTGTCCAACATGAATCTTAGACCATCTTCAGATTTTCTTTTATCCTTTTTTCTGTGTGCTCTTCTATCTTAGTGGTATTGAGAGATTTGTCTTCTAGCTCACTGGTTCTGCCTCCCATCTCTTCTATTCTACTCCTTTGTCCTTTCAGAGTATTGTCTATTTCTTATATTTTATTATTGATCATTTGGACCTCTTTCTGTAGGTTTTGAATTGTTTCCAATGCTGTATCTATCTTATTTGATTGTTCCTGTAGCA